AGCAGTTACTGGTAGCGGATGCTGAACTGGGAGTCCTTGAGGCCGTCCTTCAGCAGCCTGCTTGGAGCAGGGGCACGGGGGGTCAGGAGAGCCCCTGGGTGTCCCCCCCCCACCGTTCTCCCCCCCCTCCAAACTCACCAGAAGAAGTAGTGGGTGACCTTCAGGTCGCAGATCGCGCGCTTCATGAGGAAGCGCACCAGTGGGCTGTCCAGGTAGCACTCGTACTTCAGAGCCTGGAGTGGGGGGGGACAGTTTTGGGGTACAGCAGGACCGGCACGCAGCCCATGCCACATCCCAGTCCTGGCACGCAGCCCATGCCGCATCCCAGTCCCACCACGCACCTGGACCAGCTGAGGCAGGTAGTCCAGCAGCTCGGTGTCAGAGATGGAGTCGATCCACTGCACGGCCGTCCTCCTCACCTCCTGATCTGGGAACCTGCAGCCAGGACAGGCGCCATGGGGACAGCATCCTCAGCATCCTCCCCCTCTCCCCCGCCATTCCCACCGCTGCCCGTTCCCTGCCTGCACGGGGAAGGCAGCAGTGCCAGAGCATGCATCCCCGCGGCCGCACCGGTGGCTTACGTGGCGTGCAGGAGCCCCAGGGCATCCTGGTGGCTCATGTAGGTCCACTGGCTGAGCAGGGCGTAGATGTCAGGCAGGCAGGCCCACTCCCAGCTGAGCTCACTGGCCAGCAGCATGGGCAGGGCGCCGGGCGCCACGTGGCAGTAGTAGCGCTTCTCCCACAGCCGCTTGCGATCGGCGTCCATCAGCCTACGGCAGCGGGGGGACGAGGGCACGGCTCCGGCTCGGGGCAAGGGAGGGGATGGCATGGATGGGATGGGGCTGGCAGGGTGGGGACAGGGCATCCCTCTGCCCCCATCGCACACGGTGCACGGGACACCGATAAACCCTTCCGAGCTCTCCCTGCTGCCCCACCACGGCCCTGCCCATGAAAAAGCGGAGTTGATGGAGAGCAGGATCCTGCCTGCATCCCCCCCAGGCTGGGGCATGTTCAGCAGACAGGTCTGCAGGATGCTCAGAGCTCCCCTCGTCCCCACGCTCATTCCCCAAGGGACAGCCAGGACTCGAGCATCCATCCACAGGGGTGACTGAGCTGCTGCAGGGATGGCCCTGGCTGTCCCCCTGCCCGGGGACCCCCGAGCCGGCCAGGCTGGCCGTGCACCCCAGGCATTTCGCAGGGAGCGTCAGCACTGTCCTGCGCAGCGGATCCTGGCGCAGCTGCCGACACCTGATCCTGCCGTTTATAGCCAGCGCCGGAGGACTCGGACCAGCTCGGCCACGGCAGGCTGGACAAA